CAAAAGCGGGTTGCGTTGTTTTTCTGATTATGCTTGTGATCTGTTTGGGGGACGGGGCGGGAGGACAAAACACTGCTGCCCCGCCTGCTCCTATCCCTCCGCCCTCACCCTCTAAAGCACCCCAGAGTTTCGTAGGACCCAGTCTCCCACCCCGAGAAACGAGCAACTGGGCGGGCTGCGTTGCTGAGTTTCTCTATTGTTAGTGTTCTTGTGTTAGGGGGGGTTAGGGGAGTAACGAAAAACTGTTACCCCGCCTCCTCCTATCTATCCACCTTCGCCCTCTAGAACACAACCGCGCTGTCTAACACATTATGTTGCAGCCATAGGCGCTGTGGAGCTTCCGAGAAGCCTGCCAAGCCTCCTAGCAAATTCGATTGCCTAGACCACACCACAGCCCTCTGGCGCCCCAAGATGATGTCCCAAACCTCTCAAAATGATCGAGAGCCAACGGGGGCACCCGACAGACTGTTGGATATCATATCATCTAGAACCCTGCAAAGGTTTGAGAACTTTCCGATGCAGGCAGAATCATTCCAGATTCTTCGGTAGCCGCATCATAGATGGTCCCCGAGGGCATTCGAGAGCAACCCGAGTGCCCTCTGGATCTGTTGGAGGTCCTCCAGAGCAGTCGATTAGCGCATGGGGGAAGCGGATCCTGAGACAAACGGATCCTGGACCCTGAGGCCTTCCCCCAAGACCCCAGGACTAGATTGAAGGGGCCCCAGGACACACAAATAAATACACACAAAGAAAATAATTCGCCATATTTCCTCATATGTTCTGGGTTTTTGTCTTCCCGCCCAATTCCCATATTTTCCCATATTTTCTGGGAGATCGACGATTAACTGTGTCTGTGTCTTTTTCCCCTCCTGACAGATCTTCATCCTGAGCTGTGTTCTGACCGTTCCGGGGCCCGTGGAGGGCCCCCGGAGGCCAAACACAGCGACAAACCTCGGGACCCGTCTCCCTCAGCACCCGCTTCCCACATCATGGCGAACTTTAGAAACCCCCTACGGCCTCCTGGATCTGCGAGCCCGCAGGATGCGTGCTGCGCGGCGCGCCGCGTGCGCTCTCGCGCGCGCCGCCCCCGCCCGTGGCGCTTGCGGCGCCGCCGCCTTCGACGTGCTCGAGAGGCAGGCGCGCCGCTCCGCCCTCCGACGGCTCGGATCGAGTCGCCTCAACTCCTTCGGCTTTCCATCGCACTGCTGTCCCTTCCTGGTGCTTCCGGTGCTTCTGGTGCCGGTGGCCCGGGCCACGCCGCCCCGGCGGCTCCGCCGGCGCGGTCTGCCCAGAGGCACGCCTCTCGGGAAGAGAGCCGCCCCCCGTACAGCTCCCCGCCGTGGCCAGTGGCCGCCCGCGGCGCTGGCGCGGGGCCTCTTCCGCGGGAGGCCTCGCCGACGTCTCCGGCGTCGGGGGCCGCCCCACGGGGCAGTCTGGTCATGGCTCCAGCGGTCAACCCTGAGGTGCTGGCGCTGCAGTATTCCCCAACCATCCTGTGGTGCTGGGTCCTCGTTTTGACGAGACGATCCCCGCGTTCCTCTCTCTTCTCCTGTCCTCCTCCTCCCTCCCCTCCTCCCTCCTCCCGTCACCCCCCTCACTTTGGCACACCCCTCACACGTTTCGTGGCCCCTTAGGGAGCTCCACCGAAGGCCCCAGTGGGGGTGCCCGCATGCGTCCCCCCCACCCAGTACAGCGCTTCGGGGCCCCATAGGAAGCTCCACCAAAGGCCCCAGTGGCACCGCTGCGCCCCCCCCACCCAATACAACGCTTCGTGGCCCCATTGGGAGCTCCAGCGAAGGTCCCAGTGGGAAAGCCCGCATGCGTCCGCCACACCAAGTGCAGCGTTTCGTGGCCCCATATGGGGGCTCCACCGAAGGCCCCAGTGGCACCGCCCGCATGCGTCTCCACAACCCACTACAGCGCGTCGTGGCCCCACAGGGAACTCCACCGAAGGCCCCAGTGGGACCGCCCGCATGCGTCCCCCCCAACCGTTACGGCACGCCCCATCACGCGTTGCGTGGCCCACCGGAAGCGGCACCCACAACGCGTTACTCACAACTGCATATGGTCGGGTCCGTCGCCAGGAAAATGTTTCGCAGCGGGCGTTCGTTCGCCCAGGCTCGGGCCCTGGGACTCTCACCGAGCGATCCCCGGCGCAAAAGATTCGGCTACACGCAAGAGTGACCCTGGGTAAGAGTGACCTTTGGTGCGCGGCTTTTTGGGGGCCGCGGGGGGACCAAACCTGGGCGCGCAAGCCGCTGCTCCTGCTTTGTTTTCAGCCATCTGGGGGCCCATCTGTGCCCGCACCAAAGGTCACTCCGGCGAAAGGTCACTCTTACGTCTAGTCGAAAGATGGTGCCGAAGGCTGGGGCCCGGGGCTCCGGGCAGGACTCTCCGCGATGCTCCGCAGTTTGCTCGCAGGCGCTCGATCTCGGGGGTTGCCGCAGCAGGGCTCCTGCGCGCGCACTCCTCGGCACAGGGGGCGAGGGCGCGGCCGGCAGCCCCGCAGCTTACCGGCCTCGAACGTACCCCTGTCCCTGAGATCGGCACGCCGCCAAAAGGCGACGACAGCCTCAGGGATGGCATCCCTCAAAGATAAGGGAACCCCGAAGATCGGCATCGTGATTGACCACCTACCAGACCACCCCAACACAACCCGAAGACACGAATGTGACCCGAAGTTCGGGTTGGGGGGGTACGGGGACCATGTGTTTTTTTGATGTTCCCCGATCCCCCCCCCACTGGAAATGGAGCAAATTGAAGCCTTCGGGCTGGGTTGGGGTGGTTTGGTTGGTGGTGAGTGATGAGGAGATGCCCAGCAGAGGGCTAGGGATGTGTCCCAGGCGCTGGTAAGCAGCCGCGGCGGCAGGCGCCGCCCCGGCCTCGGGGGGGCCCGGCATGCAGGGCCCGCGGGGCCTCTGCTCGGGCTGGGGGGCCGCCGCCAGAGGCCCCCCCCATGGGCTGCTGCTGCTGCCCTGGTGCGGCCCGCCCCCGCCACAGCGGCCCCCCGGCCCGGGGGGCGGACGAAAAGGAGCAGGACGAGGAGGGAAAAGGAGGGGGAGGAGGAGGAGGAGGAGGAGGAGGAGGAGGAGGAGGAGGAGGAGGAGGAGGAGGACTCCTGCCGCAGCGTCGGGCAGGGCCGCCCGCCGTCTCGTGACGGCGTGGTGGGCGCCAAGGGTCCTGGCGCCGGGCCCTCCTGGAGCCTGGCGCTCGCGCTCCGCGTGGGCCGCCGCCCCGAGCGCCAGCCTCAGGTTGGGCCGTGCCTCCCTCCGGGCAGTCGAGGGCACTCCTAGCTCAGCCGGGGGCGCTGCGGCGTCGCCCTTCTCCAGTGGTGGTGTCGCGCGCTCTCGGATCGGCACGGTGAGGGGCATGGGACAAGGAATCGTTGGACAAGGAAGCCAGGGCCTGAAGCTGGCGGCATTCCAATCGTGAACTTGCCATGGATATTACCGCCGCCCCCATCAGATACGGAACCCTCCGGGGTGTGAAGCCTCCTGGGCACGCTCCTTGACGAACGCCCCCACCGTATGGGCCGCCAGGAATCTGAAGGGCTGGAGGTCGCGGCGGCTGCGTGCGAGGGGGGGGCGAGGCAGGAGTGGCAGACCGGCCTGGGCGAGCGGGCTCCAGCGCGCCATCCCAGCCGCGGACCCCAGGGGCTGGAGGACGCTCGGGGCTCATGGAGACATGGTGCGGGCATAGACGCCGGGCCAGGCAGCAGCAGCCTGGAGAAGGGACGAGAGAGAGAGAGAGAGGCCCCAGCCCAATCCAACCAGAGCAAGCCCAACCCCGCCCAGCAAGGACCAAGAGGGAGGGAGGGAGGGAGGGAGAGAAGGAGGCCCAGTCCAACCCGACCCAGCCCAACCCAGCCCAGCAAGGGCGGGAGGGAGGGAGGGAGGGAGGTTGGAAGGGAGGAGGAGAGTGGAGGAGAGAGGGGGGGGGGGGGAAGGAGGAGGAGGAGGAGGAGGAGGACGACGACGACGACGACGAGAGAGGAGGAGGGAAGAGGAGGGAGGAACCCAGGAAAGGGAGGAGGAAGAGGGAGGGAGGGAGGGAGGAAGGGAGAGGAGAGAGGAGGGAGGAGGAGGAGGAGAGGAGGAGAGGAGGAGGAGGAGGAGGAGGAGGAGGAGGAGGAGGAGGAGAGGAGGAGGAGCGACGACTGGGGGAGGTGTCGATCTGGCGTGCGGGGGGAAGGGCAGATGCCTCTAGTCCACCTCCCGCTCTCGGCGAACATGGGCCTTAGAGTGGCTTCGTTAGCACTCGAGGAAAGATTGCGAGGAGAGGGGCGCTGGCTGTTGCTATGTATGCGGGATGTGGGAGGCGTAAAATCAGTTACTGTCGCGACGTTGGCAACGCGGGCCTGTGGGCGTAAGGAGAGGAGGAGGAGGAAGAGGAGGAGGAGGAGGAGGAGGAGGAGGAGGAGGAGGAGGAGGAGGAGAGTAAGGGGGAGAAGTAGGAAGGAGGATGAGGAGGAGCGTGGCAGCGCGGCCTGTGGGCGTGAGGGGAGGAGGAGGAGGAGGAGGAGGAGGAGGAGAGGAGGAGGAGGAGGAGGAGGAGGAGGAGGAGGAGGAGGAGAGAGAGGAATAAGGAGAAGTAGGAAGGAGGAGGAGGAGGAGGAGGAGGTAGAGGTTAAAGACCAGGTAGAGGAGGAGGGAGGAGCAGGAGCGGAAGCAGCAGAAGGAGAGGAGGCTGACTTCATGGGCACGGCACGTCCGCCGAGGACCTCAATCGCGAGATTCGTCTTTTTCCTGCCTTCTGGCTTGTAGAAGCCACGCTCGATCGCACTCTTCATTGACGCAGCTACCGCGCGCGGCAGGTTCAAGGTGGCTGGTTCTGCAACAAGAAACAACTTCTGCCCGCTGCTGCCTCCTGACAACACCTCGCACTCCATGTACTGCACTTCGTCCTCCTCCCTATACTCTGTCTCCTCCTCCTCCTCCTTCTCATCCTCCCCCTCCCATCCCGACCCCCCCCCTCAAGAGGTTTGTTATGCCCGCTGGCGCCTGCCAGCACCCGGAACTCAACGTGTTCCTCCCCGCTGAAGTTGGCATCATTGCCTCAGGGTCTCGCCAGCTGTGAAAGCTAGAGGTGAAGGAGGAGGAGGAGGAAGAGTCAGACCTCATCCTGCTACGGTGTTCCGACACTGTTCAACAAGGGAGACGGCAGTATGGGCGTAATGCATCAGGACGCCATCCCCACACACAGGTCCCGCCGAGAGCTGGACGAAACTCCATGAGGGAAACATCCTGACATCCTGCCACAAATCCACAAGACCACATAGGGAGCGTACCACGGAGGAGGGGAAGAGAGGAAAGAAGTTCAGGGGAAGGGATAAGGAGAGACAGAAGAGCGGGGAAGGAAGAGGAGGAGCGCTCCGCATGTCACTGCTGGTTTGCCATCTCCACCAAGTCTGACAAACAGCGTCGCACTGAAAGCCTGCGTGGTGTGCCACCTTGCCTTGGCGGCGGTCGCGTGCGCGCTGCACCGCGCTGGCAAGCAGCACCAGTCGGAGTTGTAACACTGGCGGCACGAAGATTCTGTGTTAGTGCGAGAAACCGGGTGGCTTCCAACCGACTCGCTTGTGCACGACTGATCGAATCAAGAGGACAGGGAAAGAGAGAAAGAGCAGGATCCAGGATCAGAAGGGTGAGCAGGAGCAGCAGCAGGGGAAGGAGCCAGGGGACTGAGCAGGCGCGCAGGCATGGCGCGAGCTAACAATGGGAAGATCAGGAGAGGAGAGGGCCCCGTTTCGCATCCCGCGCTACCCCCCTCCCCGCTAATGCCCCTCCCCTCCTCCGCACCTCCCCACCTCTCAACCTTCCCCTCGCCATCCCCCTCCCCCCTCCCCCTCCAAATCGAAACCAAACTGACCCCCACGATGGAACGGACAGTCTTGGGGAGGGGGTCGCACAGCTTCTTGAGCTCCATTTCCGAGAAGTGAATTGCTCTCATGGGTTCCGTCTTGGGGCAATGTAGCATTCAGTGTCAGAGGTCACATGCGCGGCGCCCACGCTCGCATCCTAGCTGATTATCGTAGCCTGCCAGCTTCGCCCTCGCCATGGTCCAGATGCTCTGGGTGAGGAAGGCCAGCGGGAACACTCGCTGCTGCGGGTTGAAATCAAGAGCCGCTGTCCTACTTCTGGCACGTGAAATGTCCAGCCGGGCGCGCCGCTCGGTCCCCGTAAGCTTTTGGCGGTATCCTGGGGAATACCCTGGAAGGTTGAACTCACGGCCTGCAGGGGCCCCACAAAGACAAAGGGCCCTTTTGAATTTCCATCTCGATCGATCGAGGGTTAAGACCGCCGGGCTGAACGGGCCCCTGCAAGAGCCCCGCCGCGTCGAAGCTCTCGGGGGGGTGGCCCCGCCCGGCGGCGCCGCTGCTTCTTGAGACTAATTAGCCGCGGCCAGGCCGGGCCGGGTCGACGCCGCCCGAGCGAGTCGGCGCCGCGCGATCGCAGATCTCAGCACATTTTTCCAAATGGGGCTCTGGAGCATCAGGGGAGACAGGCCGCGGCCCCTGGCCCCTGGCTGGACCCCTCGGGCCGGCAGCCGCAAGATGCCGGGAGCCCGCCCGCCCCCCAGGGAACCCCCGCTGACGCCCGCCACCTCCACGCCAGATGTCGCGGCCGCGCTGAGGCCAGTCTGGTGGAACTTACTGAAGGGGCCCCAGGACACACAAATAAGTACACACAAATAAAAATATGCCCCATGTTTTCCCATATGTTCTGGGTTTTTGTCTTCCCCCCCACTTCCCATATTTTCCTATATTTCCCTGGGAGTTCACGATTAATTGTGTCTGAGTGTTTCTTTCCCTCCTCACTTACGGATATCCCCCTCACTTACGGATATCCCCCCCGGCATGTTTGAGCATGCTGACCCCGTCAATCCACGTCCTCATCTTGGCCGCCCTGTCGGCGCGTTCCCTGCACCCGCACCGCCCGCGACCGGGTGCGCCCAGCCCCGCTTTCTTCCCCCCCGAGATCAAGCGCCGAGAAATCTCTAGAAGGCCCCTCCAGATCCACAAGGGCCCACCTGAGTTGGCCCCGAAGGCCTCGATGTGACGCCAGAGCTTGGCTTTTGCGACCGGCAATCCTACGCTTGAACTTCGCAGAGATGGCGCCTGCAAGAGAGCTGACGGCGAAGTTCACCTGTCCGACTGGCCACGAGATCGAAACAGTCGACGCGGCGATGAGCAACATACACCGGTGAACATGGCGATGCTGAAATGACTAAGATGAGCAGCCCACTCGTCAAGCGGAGCGGCTACAAACATCTGGACAAGATAGGCGGCCCCGCTGCAACCCCATGCATTTCCTCCACACACACACACACGCGCACACAGGCGCACACACACACACACACACGCACACACACACACACACAGAGACACTTTCTCTCTCTCTCTCTCTCTCTCAAACGCACGCACCTCCACCGCACATCCCCGAGGGACACAGCGCGCTCACTACCATGCCACGGCATGACGCACGGAGGATACAGTACTGGAAGCCAGATGCCACAGCCCAATTAGTAAGGTATTACCTGTCGGTTTTTCGCGATAATTACATGGGCCCCCAAGTGCTTGTGCTAAGTCTTGCTTCTGTGCCAAAGAACTGTTGAACTCGCACTCGGGGCGCTACTTAAACGCAAGCTCAACGATTGAGTGCACGGCCTGATGAGCAGAGTAAGGTCTGAGACGATGAAACTTCCATTCTACAGCCGCCGGCTGCCTCGGTCGCGACCAGACTCTACGCTAAGATTGGAGCATCCCACGAAAGGCGGGCTGTCTGGCAGGGGCGTCGCGCTGCCCAAGCTTGATCATCAACGTGGACACACGCCCCTGGAGCTGTTCTGGCAGACGACCCACTCTTCCGTTGAAGCCAATGAATTCGCATGCCACTTCAGCCAGATCATTGCCTAGCATGCCGGAATGTCCAGGATGAAACCCACCCCGCGGGGAGGCCGCATCGCAGGGGGACCCAAGCGACTATCCGAAACCGAGCTGGGTCACTAGGACCAAGGGCCACCCTGTCATCAGTATCTGGAAGCTTGGGGGGAGCTGCTGGGGAGGCCTGCCGCGTGCCAGCTAGTCTACCGGCCTCAACTTGCAAGGCGTGCTGAGGCCTGCCAGCGAACGGCGACTTGCAGGAGACAGACACGGGCCGCCATGCTTGGAGGTGCTCGGACCACCGGCACGCCCGCCGTGCCTCCTGTCATGGGTGACTTGACTCAGCCCCTCCACGCCTCACCAGCAGATGAGCGGTCTGACCCCTGATCCCGACGCCGCGGCTCGGCCACTTCCTCGAGCCATTCGTCGAGCACGTCTGCTAGAAAACCACCTTGCGGAAAAACTTGCAGCAACGCGGATATCCTGAAGTCAATCCTTGAGGAGCGCAGCGGTCTCAAACGGCCCTGGGCAACCGTCGAGACTGCCCACGGTGTCCTGGAACTCCTGAACGCCCCAGTCCTGGAAACTTCTCCTGCAATCTTGACGCCTGTTACTCAGCCACCTAAGAGGGCCAACTTAAGGCACCCTCTTAGCCCTACTCGTAGCAAACTTGGCCTTCGCATGGACTCTAAAGGATCAGATGGGGGGGCCGGGGCGCTGGCTGGGCTTGAGGGGGGGCGATGGACATCTTACTTATTGGATTCTCCAAGTCCCGAACCAACGCAAAGCCGACCGCGTCCAGGATGGCACTGTACTGATGTTTGGAGAGAGGCCAGCGGGGATCCTCGAGCAGGCGCATAGCGCATTCAATGAACTACAGCGGCAGTCCAGTGCCAGCTCACTTTCGTGAGCGGCATGCGCGGGCAGCTTCCGGGGCCGAAGAACCGCGGGGATATTAGAGTTACTCTGCGCGGGAGCGTTGATTAGCACATGGCGATATGGGGCAGAGCATGGGAGACCAGCGTGAGAGGTTGGCTTGGCCAAGGTGCTAGATCTCGTCGAAAAACAAAGAGTAATCGAACGTAGACCTAGTGGCCGCGGGGGGGGGGGCAATCAAAGCCATGGCCGCTCTCGCGGCCATGACTTTGGACACCTGGCAGGGGCGAGGCTTGAATACCCAGCCACCAGGAGAGGGTGGGTCCTTGCCCTGGAGCTGGCTCATGACAGAGAAAGCTTTAAATTGGTCTCAGAGGGGCCTGCAGCAGCCTGAAAGCATTTTTGATCCGCGGGTCGAGAGCGCACCTCTTCCAGTCGAAGCTAAGCGGGCCGCGCAGAGCTTTGATTAAAGGCGGAGGGGAGGAGGGAAGTCGGGCAGCCTGAAAGCAGGCACTACGCAAACCGAACTTGGGCAGTCCAGGGACCTCGAGCGAAACCCCAGGGAGCCTGGACATGCCGGCCCCACTCGGGAACTCCATCGGCTGGACTCCGAGGCCCAAGCCGTTACGAACCAAAGCCACGACCCAGGAAACAAGCTCCCCGTTGCGGCTGACGGCGGCAAGGGTGATGCGCGCGAGCCACCGCTGGGCGGAGCTACTCTGCATTTGGCGAACAATGCTGTCTCCTGCTGCCAAGCTACACTCATGAGCACACAAAATGCTACATAGATCTGGCATCCTGGGACTGGAAAAAAAGCCTTAACTGAACTCCAGCAGCAACCGCTGATGCTGGCGAGCGTGTAATGAGTGTTACCGCGACGACTTGCCCGCCTGCGCCGTCGCCGCGACGGAGGCCCCCCGACGACTTGCCCGCCTATGCCGTCGCCGCGACGGCGGCTTCCTTGGCCATCTTGACGACGAGCCCTCTTCGCCCTGGATCTTGGCCATGCCCTCTGCGACCACACGAAGCGCCTGCGCTGCACGGGTGGGGCTCCTGGTGGTGTCCAACGGGGCGTCGCTGGCGCCTGACTGCTGACCTGGGCCATCTGGAACAGAGGCCGCTGCCGTCGACACGGGAGGTGGGGAGGCGACGGACTCTTTTATGCACTCTGTCCAGTTGGCGGTAACGCTAAATCTTCTGCCGAGCGCCCGCACATGCTGCATCCGCCGGCGCCAGTGGCCCATGATTGAAAATGACCTGCCCACCCACGCTGGAAATACCTGGCCCACCTTCACTGGAAGTAACTTACCCACCCACGACAGCTGAGTGGAATATCTGCCAGCAACTTGCGATGCTTATCGCTGGCGGCCACCATGTACTCGATGATGCTTGTGGCCTCGCTGCACTGCGTGTCGAGTTTCTGGCGTTGCACGCCGAGCTGGTCCAACCAAGACTGGACCTGCTGCTCGAGGCTCTTCGTGGTGAGCAGATGCGACGTGGCCTGCTTGAGCTTGCCCAGAGCGGCCTGGTATATACTCTTCCCCATTTGGCTTCGACATCTTCCAAGACATGACCTGCGCCTGAGGCAAGCCTACTGGATCACCAGCGGGTGCCGACTCTTCGCCCACGAAAAATACAGCGCGTTGGTGTAGGCCCGGGGGGCGATCTGGTCCACGGGACGACTCTCGTCTCCAGCGACCAGCCTTGGGGACGGTGGGAGCTTCAACATGCTGACTCGTGCCTCTGGTGCTGCTCACTCCACCACCTCCACCTGGTGCACTCTGCGTATTCGCTGCACAGTCGCTTCACACTTTGATTCGGCCACCGCACTGCACGCAGTGCTTCGCAGCAGAAGAACTTCAGCCAAGCAATTGCAACTGCGCCTGGAGCAAACCATGTACCGCTGCTTCTGCGGCATCTCTCGTTCAGAACCTTGCGCTGACGCGCACACAAGAGATGGGCGAGGATGTAATAGGGAGCTTCGTACCTGCAGCTTACCCTGGGGCGGACCAGGGGAGACAGGCGGCCGCGCAAAGAGGGATGGGCGCAAGCACCACGGACCCTCCCTTGGGCCAGAACGACTTGAGTCACATGAGGAAGGAGGAGTGAGGAGGGAGCTGGAGGAGGAGGAGGAGGAGGAGGAGGAGGAGGAGAAGGAGGAGGAGGACGAGGAGGAGGAAGAGGAGGCCGCAGCAGCGCTACACGGCCGAGGTCGAGGCAGGACACCGCCCCAACAAGGCGGCCATCGCGCGCGGAGATGCGGAGGTCGAGGTCGGCCTCGTTGCCTCCAGCGGGCGCGCGCGGAGGGCCCCGCCTCGCCTTGCTGGCGTGTATGCTGTCCTTCTTCGTCCTGCATCGTCCACCGTCCATCCTCCTCCCCATCTTCCTCATCACCATCGGCATCACATTCATCATCATCGCAGTCATCATCAGCAACATCAGCAGCAGCATCACCATCATCATCATCATCATCATCATCATCATCATCATCATCAACATCACCATCACCATCACCATCACCATCACCATCACCATCACCATGACACTCGTCGGCATCCTCATCATCATCATCATCATCATCATCGTCATCATCATCATCATCATCATCATCATCATCATCATCATCTGCAGCAGCAGCATCCTCATCATCATCATCATCATCAGCATCAGCAACATCACCATCATCACCACCATCATCATGGCCATAAGCAGAATCATCATCAGCACCACCATCAGCATCAACATCAACATCAGCATCATCATCATCAATATCATCATCCTCATCATCAGTAGCAACATCATCACCGCTACCACCACAACCATCATCATTAGCATCATAAACATCGCCATCATCATCATCATCATCATCATCAGCAGCAGCAGCAGCAGCATCTCATCATCATGTTCGACAGTATCAGCATCATTATCAACAGCAGCAACAACATCATCAACACCATCATAATCATTAGCATATTCGTAGCTACCGTCATGATCACCATCACCATAATATACTTCATCACCGTCGCCGTACCGACCATCACAGTCATCAGATCTGCCACCAGGACCTACACCACCATCACCACCATCACCATCACCATCACCATCATCATCATCACCATCACCATCACCATCACCATCATCATCACCATCACCATCATCATCATCATCATCAGCATCATCAGCAGGAGCATCGCAATGGCCGTCCTCATCCATAATTGTCCCGCCCCTGCCTTGAGCATGGGCGGCATTGGTGACCAGCGGCGCTTCTTGCCACTCGCTCAAGCACCGACGCTCGACCAGAGAAATAGAGCGTCGGAGGCTGTCTCTGGCTAGGCCCAGTCGGAAGGCTAAGCCAAGAGAGGAGGGCGACGAAAAGACACATGAAAGGAGGACGGGACACGATGCGCATCTGGCGCCGGGGCCTGGAGGCCTGACCTATGAGGACGACGCGCTGGGGCCGCAACCCCGCACATGGTGAGTCGCATGGAGGACACGTCCAGGTACACGGCCCTGGCTGCCTGAAAAACGTATTACGTATCCACATGGCCAGCAAGCGTGCCAGACAATAACTGTTCCGAATAGTCCCGGGTAGCTGACCGCCTCGCCAGGGCAACCCAGCTCGCGTTTTCCAAGTTGCCACCAGCGTCTCAGAAATTGTAGGATTTCGACTGTCCAGCTCCTGTGGGGACGGCTTTGCTGACAGCCTCGTGCAAAAAGATAACGGGTTCTGGTCAGCAGGCGTTGTTGCGACTTGTTTTGCTTCTCTCTCTCTCTCTCTCTCTAGTCCTCTCTCTGTCTCTCTCTCTCTCTCTCTCGATATGCTTACAGCCCGTCGTCGCGCCTCCACGAAAGGCACCAACTGTCGATATCTCCTGCCCGTTTTAAAATGTCAACAAAATTCTCTACTGTACCGGAATGCGTCTCTTATGCCAAACAATCGGGGTCACCACGCCAAACACGAATACGGTAGTCGGCACTCAAAACAACAAATTGCTGGTCAGCTCCTGCTTGACTGCCACAATCGTTGTTACAAACGTTTTCCATCCCTGGTGCATTCTGTGCTCGGTCCTGGTTTCCGTGAACTCGGAAATGCGACCGGCTATTCAGGAGACTTGACAGCAACGTCGACGGTGGTACGAGGAAGGGTGCGAGGAAAGGTGCGAGGAAAGGTGCGAGGAAAGGTGCGAAGAGTGTAGAGGCAAGGAGGTGGGAAGAGGGGAATGTCTGGCCGAAGCAACGCGAATACCCTTCAGAGCTTCCAGCGGTCCGAGCTCCTCCTAGGGGCGAGACACAGGAGAGGACGTTGCCACAACGAGAAATATCAAAAGCAGGCCGATGTGATCATCCGTGCCCAACTCATGGTGGTCCCCCCGTCTACCCCGTAGATAACGGAAGACGGTCGGGTCGACGTCCTGACACCACAACGTGCTCGTTTCGGGGTGCAGACACGGAGACATTTCAAACACCGCTGCGTACAACCGTGCGTAGCGAGAACATGCTGAAACGGAGCACTGGAAGCGCGAATGACTCTCGGGTGCCTCTCGAGTGTTTCCACACACGCGTGTCCTAGAAGTCTGTCTCCAACAGACACTGGCTGACACTCAGTTCAGCATCTGCACGTGCGAGCTCGTTTACTAACCTTCTAATCAGCAACGGTGGACCCCGCAACGAGAGACCAGGTAGCGGAATCCTCAGCCTGGTGCATCGATTAATGGGTCTTCACACTGCGAAGCAAAACCCAAGTCGAGGACCCGATATTGGAGGGCTCAGGGCCGTCGCCATCAGGGCGCAAGACACTTGCAGCCAGAACTCCGCGCTCATCGACTGCAGTGGTCTGCTGCGCCCCCTCTCAACAGATGGCAAAAGCGTCACGGCGTGGCCCCGAACGCCATCCGCCCAAAAACGGCGTGCGAGCGCGAGGAGGGGAACCCTTCGACACCACCCCGAGTTATTGTGCAGAAGGGAGGCTCAGCAAGAATCTGGTTTAGACCGTCCACTCATGTCATTCCACACGTGTGCACGAAGCGACCGATACGCGCGCCCTTTCTCTGCGATCGTACCCCCCTTGCGGGGGAGGATGGACCTGGGATGGGCGGAAACTAGCGGGCGGGCGGGTCGAGTCAGGCGGGCACAATGTTGGGCGGTCGGGTCATGTCGGGTGGACCCTGTCTCGGGCGGTCAGTCTTCTCCGTTTCATCCTCAGCCTCGCCATCTTAATCCTGGTCATCAGACTCCTCCTCCTCCTCCTCCTCCTCCTCCAGGGGGAGGTCGACGGGGAGATCTGGCGGAGGATCCACAGAGCGGCCCGAAAAGCATTGGACGGATACCATCTCCCTCCGTCCTTTCTCCTCTTCCCTACCTCCTCCCTCCTTGCTCTTACCTCAAAACTCCCTCCCTCCTGCTCCCTACTTTTCCTCCTCCCCCTCTCATGTTCCCTTCCATCCCCTTCTCCTCCTCCTCCTCCTCCTCCTCCTCTTCCTCCTCCTCTTCCTCCTCCTCTTTCTCCTCCTGGTCTCACGTTCCCTCTCAACTATAGCCGCCTGGGCTCTCCCCCCTCCTCCTCATACCATCCTGCTTCTCATCATCAGCAGCAGCAGCATCATCAGCATCACGATCATGATCTAGAACATTACTGGCACGATGTCTCATCATCAAACTTGCCGTAAAAAAACACCACCATCAATACCACCACCACCACAACAACAACGACAACAACAATCATCATCATAATCATCATCATCATCATCATCATCATCATCAGCATCATCATCATCATCATCATCATCATCATCATCATCATCAGCATCATCATCAGCAGCACCATCATCATCATCAGCATCAACAACATCATCATCATCAGCATCATCATCATCATCATCATCAGCATCATCATCATCATCATCATCATCATCATCATCATCATCATGATCACCACCGGCATCCCCAGTCAACAAAGTCGTCGTCACCTTATGGGGAAACCACGCATACGAATGCCGAGTTATGAACGTGCTCTGAGCGGGACCCCCCCCTTCACCATCTCAAAAAGAGACAAACAGCTGCGCCGAGCCCGTTACGGTATACACCCAGAGGTGCTGGTCAGGGCAAGCATGCGAAGCAGCCAGACCTTTGGAACGCTGAAGGCCGTCACTCAATAGCGACGAGTTAGGCATCCCACGCGCCTTCGATCACGAACAGTGGCTGGCCTTGCGCGCTCATGAGGAACGACCCGTTGCCCTGAGCAC